AATCCTAATAGATATCTTCTGCTCGATGTTCTCGGTTAGTTCTTCTCTTACGCGAAATCAAATTCTTGCAGTAATTGAATTTTTAGGTTCTCTCAAACACAACGCAAGAGTTCGCGTTTCTGTAATCTCATTCGATCCCGAACCGACAGTCACATTAGACTTTACAGACATTTCTGAGAGGGATAAGATGTTTGCCAAGGTATAAAGCCGAATCTAATTTTAATATAAAGGAAATTGATGGTTTGCTTTTTAGATTGAAGCAATTAAGACAATCAATGAACAACCATCGTATTCTGATGCTGTCTCCCTCGCCTTAGATCATCTCCGTTCTGGAGGGCGGTGAGTTTATATTTATACATACATACATATGAATATAAATTTTTTTTCTAAATTTAAAATTGTTAAAAACTGTTGTATTTTCATCAATAATAGTAATTATAATTACAAAATGGGCAACTTACTGTTTATTTAAAATAAACAATGCTAATCAAAAGCTAATCCTTTAACGGCTGTCCCAAAAACCAAAGAATCGCAAGTTAGTTTAGGCTGTTTGATTAAAAAATCTTCCTAACGAAACTTTTAGAGCTGGTGCGAAAGCTAACATCATCATAGTTGGCAGCGGAAAAGGCAACGATACATTTGAGGAGAGGACAGCTGTAGCCGAAAGAATGAAAAAGGTATGGATTTTATTTTGCTGGAAATATGAAGGCTAAGCATGCCTAGATAGCATTTATTCTGTATCCTCTAATGTAACAGAGGACCAAGAGAAAAATTTAAAAAATGATAAAAGAGACCATTACTTTTTGTTTTGTGTACTGAAAACAAACGGAAATCTTAAACCTTTGCTTCTCTTTTGAAATCCTTGTTATTGAATCCTGTATGTTTTTTAGACTCCTTCAATCGGTTGCTTTGCTGTCGATTCCTCCCCATCTACCGACATCAACTCCCTGAAATTATTCACTGGCTCACGCGAGCGTGTTTTCCCTTACGAACGAAACGCAGAGTTCGCTCGTCAAATCAATAAAATGGCTACTGTAGTTGATAATCCAAAATGCCAGTTTGTGGTAAGAATAAGCCAGCCATTTTGGATGCTAATTTAAATTGGAAGCTCATCCCTCAACGTTCTAGCTGGGAGCTATCCGTGATCGCGTCCATGCAGCCGCCGGTGTTGAAGTTCAAGCTGTCACGCCAGTTGAATGGGTATACAGTACCGTAGGACCACCAAAAGAAGAACATATCGTGCAAC